TTTATCAATTGTGGTGAATTTGAAATGTCATTTAAATTTTTAAAACGTGTTTTGCACATGTTCGGTAACCCGCAAGCTACTGATGCGGAGAATATTCTTCAGATGTTTTTAGAAGCACCATATGACGCTGAAACTACTCCTGAAAAGATTGGTTCTTGTGATTTAGAGGTGGAAGAGGACTCGATTGATCCTTTAGATGCAGTAGATGAGAATATGCACAGTAGTAAAGCAATTATTCATCAGTCGCCCTTCAGTATTGAAGCCATTCGCCGATTTCCTCAGCTTTCTGAGTTGTTGGATTATGGTAAAAAATTCGAAAATGTAACAAATCCTCTTTTTTGTCGTCGGATTATTTTGGTCTTTTATAAGTGGTTTGCCTACTTACCCTTATGGACATCTTTACTTACCGAATTTGAAGCGCGATATTCGAATGACCGAACACCAGTTGACATTGGTAAATATGAAGAAGGTCGTCTAACAAATGCTCAAATAGAATGCTATTTTGGTATCCTAAAAGATTCAACTTTTGAAAGAAAAACAAACCTGCAACCAGCAGAGGTGACTGTATCGCTCTATCGAAGTATTCAGGCTCAACTGAAAGCAGATAAATTCGGAGTTAGCCAACATGCAAAAAATCGTAGGGGAAAACCCAAAGATATGAATGTAGAGGAGGCTTGGGGTAAGAAGAGAGCTCAAAAGAAACAACGAAGTACATATTTCAGTCGAATTGATAAATATAATAAAAAACGGCTGGCATCAAAGCCGATCAATCCTGTAGCAAAAACGAGTTTGTCGGACAAGCCACCTTACATTTCCACCAATTTAGGGGAAAAAACCAGCTGCATTTTAAATGATATATCTAATGCAACTTTGTCACATAATTTACCTGATTCTCCACCTTCAAAGTTCACAGACCTTTTCGGCGGTACGGATTTTTTAAAGAATATAAGTCCTTCCAGTAATGCACGGGCAGTGTCAGTATTTAATGAACCAATGTCTCCACCAAATATTTTTTCAAGTATAAAACTTGACAGTTCGTCCAATGTTTTGTCAACACCGAAACAAGTAAAAACCGTGTGCAAAAATGAAAATATACAGAAAGAAAATTCTGAAAGTAAACATGAAAAGCAGCAAAATCAAAGCAAAAATGGTATTCCACTAAAACATTTCTCAGTCCTGTTAATATACGTACTTTTTTGTAGTAGAGACAAGAAAGAGTAATCGTGGACAACAATCTTCTTTATCAAAGGTTTTTGAAACACCTGATTCATCGCCAGTTCGTCGGTTTCGTCAAATCGTCATGATTCAACATTGTCCTCTTCTATGGCCAGCTTTTGGCATCAAAAAGAAAACCTCTGAAGGTCTGATTTCATTTTTTTCATCTTTTCATGTATAATATACAAATTAATCCATTTTAGGTCTATCTAGTCCATGTAATAAAATAAACAAAAACAAGTGTATAAATTAAACAAAAAGGAGATGGTTTGGGCTATAGAAATTTTGATTATACCAATGGATAGAGCTCTTCAAGTTGTGCTTGGAACAAGAATAGGGACTTTGGAACAGGTCCCTAGACGAATATGGGCAACTTTTACTCGAATCTGGTGCCAACTTCACCTACATCTTAAAATGTGTATCTGTTTCTTCGTTTGTTATTTATTGTAGCATTATTCGATTTGTAATGTTTTAAACTGTTCAACCTTTTTCTTTCGGGTTCAGGGATATTACTTTTATGTCTCGTCATCTAAAAGTGAGAGCGAGAGACGTTAAATATAAGTCTGTAGCCACAAACAATAAAAGAATATCTAATGTTAACCGAGAAATAGAAAACATCAAACAGATGAGTTGCTTCTTTATCAGATTCATATACACATATATTCGGTTAAAATGAGAAAAAATAAAATAAAATAATGAGTTTTCAATATTATCAGAGTTGATGATGGCTAGTAATAACGTTAAGATGTATTTAACTTATTTGTTTGGGTAGATGATCAACTGTCTGTTAAATGACATCGTTGTCAACGTAGTTCGGCATCAGCTTTTTTTCGTTCATCATATTTACGCTTTAATTCTTTCATTTTTCCAATGACACTTGCTCGTGTAGTCAATCGATTCCAATTAAAATACTTGGTACCAAAAACTATAATACAAATATGAAAAAAGATCATTCATAGTCTCAATCATCTATCGTTTAAAATAAAACTTACCGAATAAATATTCAAATTTATCTGCGTCTTCGTCGTCCAACTTCACCCATTGCTCATAGGCTACTGGATTTTTCTCAAATCCTGGAAACACGGCCAAGAAAAGATGTCGAGCTATTGAGTTAATATTGTTATGATGACGACATGACTCAACTTCTTCCAATGTTAAACCAAGATATTCCGCGTCCGATTTTACATTAAAATTTTCAGCTTGATTGTTCAAGCAACTATTCGCACCAAAAATCGTTTCTTTATGTAAGTAACCAATAAACTGGCGAGCTGATATATTTTCATCAAAGCTATAGATGAAAGCGGAAGAACAAAAAATTGAATTAATGTATGAAGAGTATTAGTTCACTGGGCATACCTATACTATTTCGCTTAAGATGTTCATTTTCTTGTTGTTGTTGCTGATTTTTCATCTTTTGAGTGGACAATTTATCCTCTAAGTTGATTACTTTTTGTTTAAGCTGTAAAATTTTTAATCTATCTCTCTTTGATGCTGAAGATTGATGAACTTCCTGTGCAGCTAATGCTGATTTTACGAGTAGATTATCCGTCGTCGTTATTTCTGCTGACTGTTGATGTTCAATAACTGAATCTGCGTCGTCCGATATGTGCGTTTCATCGGTCTCATCTTCGCTTTGTTTGCATTCGCCCTCTTCGTTTTTATCTCGTCTACTTTGTTGATTATCAAGATTAATTGTGATTGTTGTTGGTTTAAATAACTTAGGCCTTCTTTTTTGACTTGTGCCTGATGTTGATGATGATCGTGAGTGTTTACGTTTTGAATGTTGGTGTTCAGATGAATGTAGATTAACGAAAACGGGTGGCGATGTTGAAGACGAAGGAAGTTCTATTTTACTCTGAGTGGCGATACGGTGCGTCTGTCGTTGTTCCTGAGATGCTTTAACCATCACTTCATTATTAGAACAACTCTCTTGCGTTTGATTAGATGGTAATAATAATGCAGAAACAAAATTGGACGATGGTGATTTGCGATGAGAGAGCAGTGTCGTTGTTTCTTTTGATATGAGCGGTGTGCTACTTTGTTCCTCTAACAATAGTTTCTGAAACGCTCTTGCATCGGCTTCATTCACTAAAAGTACAGAAAAAAATAAATAAGCGCGCGGCCCTATCTATAGATGGAGAAATATTTTCCAAAATAGATACGAAAGAAATAAACAATCCTAAAATATTAGAAACACTTTTCAATAAGTCAACTACTGTTAGATATTTAGAAATATCACAAAATGAGTTTAACTCAAAACCAAATACTAATTTATATGTACTTAATAAGATTATTATCGATTGTTATTTAAAATTTGAACAAATTAATATTAAACTATTCGAAGAAATACTTAGAAACAGCAGTTTAATAAAGAAATAGAACAGATCAAGCGAATATCTTTCATTTACTTCGAGCAATCGGAAAAACACTTGTCCAATTAAAAAAGATGTTTTATCCCTGTTAAATAATATTGAAAAAACGAGTGAATCCATTTATTATTGATTAACAAAGATGAAATTCATGTGAAAATACAATGTTATTTAATTCAAGACACACTGATTCAACAATTGAAACGCATTGTATCGTTAATTGTTCAATATGAATCATTAGAGTTTCATCATGAATCATGAGTTCATTAGAGTCTACTTTCTTTCTCCACGTGTTCCTCTCTTTCATGTCGGAATCATACCACGAGGTTGTTTCTCTCTTCATTCGGTTGTTTGAGGGTGAGGGGTTTGTTTACGATATACAAAAAAAAGCCTTTTCAAGTTTCAGACTTGTCGGTTTTGCACAGTCGTCGTTTGCCCTAGGATTCTTTGAAATCAAACCTACTGAATTTATTTGTTTTTGCTAGATTGTGGCGAAGCGCCACGTAGAAGATGGAGAGACGATTAGAACTTCGGCCGATCAGTTTGTAACCGATGTTCGCAGATGCTTACCTCAGTACGAAGAACACGAAGTTCTCAACACAGACCAAAGTGGGATTCGAGCTGAATTCCACTCTACTCGAACATTAAGCCATAGAGGGGAGAAAGTAACAATTGGATCCGTTCGCTCTGTGAATGCTACCACCCACAGCTATACAGCGCAACCAACAATCACACTCGACGGTCATCTCCTCGCGCCGGTTTACCTCTGCTTGAAGGAGCCCACAGGGCGCCTGAGTGACAATATTCGCTCGCATCGTATCAAGACGTCGAATGTGGTGATCACCTGCAGCAGTTCTGGGAAGCTCACAACATCTTTGGTTGAGTATTGGCGCGATCATGTGCTCCTTCCGTCACTAGGAAAACATCAAAAGTTCCTGCTCATCTCGGACTGTTGGGGTGGACAGACATATGGAAAGGGATTATACGATCATATCCCAGGATGCACAAGACTGGAGATATCGAAAAAAATGACGGATCAAATTCAATCGCTGGACGTTTTTTTCAACTCGATGAACTTGACATCAGCATGAGCGAACGGAATAACATCATTCGTCTCATGTCTCTCACTCACAATCAACTCTCTGCCAAGGTGTTTCGTCCGATGATCCATTATGCTTGGTATGCCAGTGGTTACACAGACAATCATTCCAAATCCTTCAAAACAGTGGGCGAAGTGTGTTTTTCCTTCGATACAACAATATGCGCTGCACCTTCATACGATGCAGCTCCTTGTATCTGCTGCAGCTGGTGTGACAAACCACTATGTCTCAATCACTTTTTTCTCAATCACTTTTTTCTGAACTACCATTTTCATTGAGTCACTCTTGTGCGGACTTTTGCAGTGTATAATAAAATCAGATGTGAAATGAAGAGTTCTGGATGCTCTGTGACCCGATGAACAGCCCTTAGAGGTGGTACTGATGAGATATGACCTAGCACTAAATCCAGAATAGACAGTACGAGCAATGCGTGAAGCTTTGAAAATTTTCCACCTGAGTACTGTACTGCTCTCTAAGAACGATCATTTTCCACTTCGGTCCCGTTTCGTATGTATCTTGAGCATTGGATATCTCGAAAATAAAGGCACGAGGGGGTAAATCCTCTTGAGGTTTTTCATACCTCATTGAGGTCTACCTATCGCCAAAAGATGGGACCTAAAGACTTTAAACACCTGGGGAACTTTCCTCGTCAGTGAAGATTTTAAACTTGGCCTAGTGAATAAATATGTTGTTTGTTTGGAGGACGTTCGAGGCTTCTGTGCAATCGGATCAGGTGAAATGTCGTTTGTAGCAGCTAAAACTGAAGATTGTTTTGCTGACTGTTGTTCAACAACTGTTTGTGTTGGTTTTTGGAGTCATAAATGTCGTTGTTTGTGATTTTGTACTTGTGGTTTCAATAATTTATGTTCTAATTCGCGTTGATTTTCCTGATAGTTATGATTATTTATTGTTAATTGTGTTATTTCGTGTTGTTCAGTAACAGCTGTTATCATTTATCTATGCTTTACGGAATCATGTGAATGAGATGGTTTTGATCGAATAAATTGTTAACATTGTTGTTTTATTTCATGGTAAAACCATACCTCACCATCTTCAGGCCACATAATTTCTTCCCTGTCAAAAACTGGGAGTTGTTCTTCAAATGATGAATTTTTTTTCTTTTTCAATGTTTTTTCCGTGTTATTTTCTATTCGTTTCGTGTAATTTTCTATAAATCGCTGTGATTTATTTTGAAGATAACAGCCAAAATCACGCATATGTTGACCATGGAAATAATGTTTTCTCACTGTTGCTGGCGTTATCACTGATGTTATGGATTGGAAATTTGTTTTTGAGAATCCTTCTTCATCTTCTTCACCTGCTTCACTAGAAGTATATCGACTATCAAATGGATCAACATATAATTCATCTAAATCGGTATTACAATACGATTCTGATCCATCTTCCGATTGTTGATCATCTAAATATTCCGACAGTGCTATTAATTCTACTACATTTCCGCTTGCGTCTAACTTGGCTAATATATTGTATATCTGTACTAACCTAGAATTCTATAGAATTCTGTAGAACCCAAGCGTAAAAAATAAATCTAGTGTCGCCCGATTCATCTAGATTACTAGATTTTTACTCGATTGCAACTATTGGGTAGCGACAGTGGAAATCTAGTAATCGAGCGATTGCTAGATTTCTTCTAGTAACAACTATCGATTTATCGCCCGATAATCGAGCGATTTAACTATTACTAGTTGCACGTGCAGACGCATCTAGTTAAAAGTCTCTTTTCCAACTAGTAATCTAGATGACAACTAGTCGTGTATCGCCCGATTACCGACGAAATGTATCTAGATTTTTCCCATAGATGATTTTTGCTTGGGGAATGTCTCAAATGTAGGAACTCGGACATCCCACCTAGTCGCACCGGTTTTAGCTTCGATTTTTTTCAAATATTTGTTATTTATTAGTCAAATCATAATGTGAAGAATGTTAACAAAATATAGAGTTCTGAATTGCAATGCACAGCTACTTTATTATATTTTATAAATTCACAAACGATAAAAAAATTATTCGTAGTATGTGAACCCAAGTATCTCCACAAACCAAAAATCGTATCGAGTTTGGTTTTTCCCGTCGAGAAGCTCTCAATTTCTAGTATTCATACTGTTAATATCAGTTTTTTCTTCAGTTTAGCTCTTCATGACTTTCTGGAAGTGTTTTTGAACCTGGTCTGTTTTCTCTGCAAAAAAAAATAGTCGTATGATTGCCTTTTCACTCTTATTTCACACCTCTCCTAGTTTGTTCAAAAATAAAAAATAATCCATCAGACAGGGAAAAGTGCCAGCTTTCTAACAAAAGAAGAGAATATTCGAAAATGGTTTATTTGTTGAGTAGAAAAATTAGCTTTAATGAGTTCAACTGAAAATACTTGAAAAATTTAAATTTTAAATCTAGAACTGAATTATTTATTACTTCAAGTACGTCAAAAGAAAGAGCAAAAAAAGTTACATCGACTGATTGTGTTTTTACTTTATTGAAGTTCGTTTAGCAGAGTTTCAAAGGATTTATTAAAATCGATCGAAGATCCAGGTGAGTCATGAATCGCTGCTCGATGCATGACTCACTTAGGTAGAAGCATTTTAATTTGTCAAGCATTTTCAACTGAACTCATTAAAACTAATTTTTCTACTCAAAAAATTAACCATTTTCGAATATTCTCTTCTTTTGTTAGAAAGGCGACACTTTTCTCTATCTGGTGGATTATTTTTTATTTTTGAACAAACTAGGAGAGCTGAGAAATGAGAGTGAAAAGACAATCGTACGAATATATTTTTTTACAAAAGAAAACAGTCAGGTTCAAAAGCTCTTCCAGAAAACCATGAAGAGCTAAACTGAAGAAAAAACTGATATTAACAGTATGAATACTAGAAATTGAGAGCTTCTCGATGGGGAAAACCAAACTCGATACGATTTTTGGTTTGTGGAGATAATTGGATTCACATACTAAGAATAGTTTTTTTCACCAATTGTAGAATTGGTATAAGCACTCTATATGAGCAAAAAATCTTGTCTGATTATCCGTTATTGGAAAACCACTCATTTATTCTATAATTATAAGTGGGGATAGTTTCCGGTAAAACTTGAGCCAACAACGGTATAGTATCGATACACTATAACGGCAGGATGCCTTCTGATACAATCGTGCAATAAACTAGCAGTTCAGTGTATTTTTCTTTATATGTGCTGTAGCTTTCTTTCGAAAGCAGAAAATATTTTGATTCTATCTTATTATGTGCTAGATCAGATTATACTAAACAGATGTATGGCGTTTTCTGTTTTGACTTTGCGCTAATTTCTAAGTACTACGACGTGCAAATTCTAGACTAAAGCAAAGGTCAAAACTCATTTAAAAATAGAGCAGTTGTTTTGCCACTTTTTTCGAAATCTGATTCGATTTCTTCTACAACTATAGTTTGAGTCCTACTTGTTTAACCTTTGATCTACAACAAAAGTTGTATATTTTATTTTTCAAAAAAATAAACCACAAAGAAAAAAATCAGATAAATATTGTGCAAAATAGAAACATACAACTAAATTTCACATGTATAAATTTGAAAAATAAACATTTCTGACGAACTTAACAATTGAACAAGTAGAACTTATCTAAATGTAGAAAAATAGATGTTTATTAAACCTTAACCCAGTTTACCTAATTAAACTAAAGTACTCTAGTCTACGGATGGTAACTTGACCGGGATTAATTAAATTTCTTCTTATTTATGAAAAATATTTGGAATTTTGCACAAAACAAAATAAAAAATTAACTAGCTATTATAGTAAACTTCTAACACAATAAACTTTGTTTTTGCTAAAAAAAAATAATGAAACCAAAAGAAAATTGCACAAGCACAATACAAATGCGATAACGAAAAATGATTCATACCAGAACTTATCTAATTAAATTGTTCACGATTTTGAAGTATACAGACTGAACTCATATAATAATTTCATGTGAGAACAAAACAACATGCGTACAAGATAAAAATAAAGCAACAATGGTCTGATTTATGATAAAATCGACAGAAGAAATACGCAAATTTGTCCTACATGCTTACGATATGGAAGAAGAATAATCTATATCCGAGTTATACACAGTTCACTGTTTCAATTGGTCTACTAACATCTAAAAAGCACTAGTGATAATTATAACTAAAACTGTATGATAATATTCTAGCTAATCACACAAAATAAATGTAATTGAAAAAGAGAGCAAACATTTTCCTCTAGATTATACAAAATGAACGAGAGAAGAGAATTCGTTTATAATTTTTTTTTTCAAATAATAATGTTTTCTTATAACATAATCTCTCTCATCATAGTAATCAAGAAAATCATTTCTATAACTTTTTCTTGAAATTTCCTAAACAAGACTTCTACGAGAGTTTAATGTTGTGAGTATCAGAAGAAAAAAAAACAGTGATTGAGATTCTGAAGAGGAGAGAGACATGAAATGTTTTAAGACTTTTTAATTGTTTTCTCAACAACACCGGGCTCAAACACGGCCTTTGCTGCTTTAATAATCGCTTCTCTTGTAACTAGACTTGTTTGAGGTTTGAATTGTTCAATATATTGTCGATGATCATTTAAGCGTGTTTGTATTAATGGTGATGATGTCGATGTTTGTAATTTGGAATTATTTTGTATTGACGATGTTAATGTACGAACATTTGACAGAGATGTGGTTGATGGTAAACCAAATCTTAAACGTTCCGTGGTTGAATATGGTCGTGATGTACCAAACATTTGTGTCCAACGATTCTCAAGAAGACTATCCACATTGGACGATGTCATAGAACCAGTTAACGTGCCAGTTGTTGTTAATAATTCATGCGGTAGTGATGATAATAAGTGACGAGACTTCTGTTGTTCAATTAGATCATAGACACGGTTAAGATTTTTATTTATTGTACGTAAATTTTCCACAACAGGATTTACATCGTTCACTGATAATTGTGCAAGATCAATTCCGTTTAAATAATTTGTTTTATGTCCATCTGTTGTTACAATATCATTTAGTTGTGTTGAGACATTTGTCATAATATTTGATAATGTTTCTCGATTTGGATCGTTATTTATTGATGTTTGATCGAAGATAGTTTTATTCTGTGTTACAAATGTTTTATGCCGTGCCAACAACTCTTTGGCTAAACGAATAGCATCCATATCTAGAGTATTACTTAACGATGATTGTTTCTGTTGTTGATTAGGCGTAGGTGACAATGTTAAGCGTTCAATATATTCGAGTTTATTCGTTCGTAATTCTTTAAGAGTACGTTCCATACTGACCACATCACTATCACTATCACTCAAATTTAAATCATCATCTTCTGCTTGTTGCATTTCGTGTTCTGAATCGTCATCATCATTCTCATCATTGTTATTGTATCTTATTGGTTCTTTTCTCTCTTGTTTTTTTGAAGATTTTGTTTGTATTTGTTCTGTATTAATAGAAGAACGTGTATTATGATAATTCTCCTCTAATTCTCGAATTTTCTGGTCTAATATCTCATTTTCATTACGTAATTCTTTAATATTACGTTGTAGTGTTGAACAAAATTCATCTTTCTTAAAAGAAATAAATAGAACTGATATATATGTATACAGTTGGATCTTAAAACATTGAACTTTTGGACACAGAATACTACTTGTCTACGAATACCATGCTACATGTGGTATCGATTATGAAACGTTATAACTGTTGACCCGTCTTAAATTCATTAGCTGTATGTATACCTCTTTTGCTTTGCTGTCTAATTTTTCTTTTTCCAATTTAATTCTATCATATTTTTGTGCTAAATCTTCTAGTTCAGTTTTGTATTTATTTTCAAAATTTTTTAATTTCTAAATAAGATTCTGTTTTTGTTTAGAAAAAGTGAAAAACAACGATCAACAACTCACCTCGTCATATTCATGTTTTTCTCGATTCAATTTTTCTTGTAATGTTCGTATTTGACTATTAGTACTATTTTGTTGTTCATTATTCAACTCCATTTGCATATTATGCCTGATAAAAAAAAAATAACAAAAACAAATTATTAAGATAAAAATTCGAGATATTGCAGTCGACTAACCGAAGTTTTTTCTGTAATTCATCTCTTTCTCGTTCAATACTTTGTTTTATTTGATTTAATTCATTTTGTTTACGAGTTTCCAATAGTTTCTTTTCGCGAGCAATATTATCACGAATATTTGTTTCAATTAAGCTGTTAATATAAAATGATATCAAGTTTCACAATTGAAAAAGAGAACTTTATCATTTGACTTTACGCTAGGTTAGTCTTCATTTGATCTCGTAATATTTTTTCTTCATGTTCTTTTGTTTTTTGTAGATCAGCTTTCATTTTGGCTAGATATAAACGATTGTTTTCTAACAATTCTAATTTATCTTCTTCAGCTCTAAATAAAAAAGATGGTGTGACCATTAGCAGTTGATTCATGAGAAAACACACTCTCACGCCGAGTCAAGACGAGCTTTCAATGTTTCTAAATCAATATTGTTCTTGTGATCATTTGGTGTTCGAGGTGTTATTAAATCAGTCGATGTGTCCTAAAAGAAATCAGAAAAACTAATACGTCACTATTTCTTTGGCAGATCAAACGCAAACCTACATTCAAATTATTATTTGATGATTGCTGATTTGTTGATATAAATCTTCTTTCTGCGGCTTGAGCAGCTAATTTCGCTCGCTTTGCTCGATCATCGTTTTCATTATCAAATTCATCAAAATCATCGTCATAATGTTTATTTTTCATGTCATCATCACTATTAACCAGTTGCGACGATTTGTTAATCACTGGTTTTACATACTCGATGTTCTTATCTACAGAAAGATTAATCTTATCAATTAAATATCAATTGTAACGATAGACATACCATCCGGAGCTTGAGCCGTTCTTTCTTGTGAATCAATTGTCAAACTAGAACCATGTTCCTTTTCTTTTCGTTCAATTCTTTCAGATAATTGTGGATCAATACCTAAACATATATCAAATATAAGACAACATAATATGAAGTGAAAGTAGAGTAATGATAGAAAAGCTAAAAGCTGCATCCATACAATTCTTACCAAAATCAAGGTTTTTTCGAAAATCATCACTACTTGTTTCTTCTTCTTCATCACTATCGATATCCTCGTCGTTTACCTCTTCTGGATCTGAATTGACATAGCGAGCATCTAAATAATAATCAGTAAGATCTCCAATGTATTCTTGGTGTCTGATGAAAACTACTTTTACCAAAAGGTCTTCCGCTTCTCACTGTCGGTATTGTTGTTGATAATGGGTGCGAACCAGTTCTTTTTCCATCAATAAACAAATCGCTGATTGTCGATGTTGTCTGATTTAGAGTGCCTACATCACACAGACGGCATAAACCATGATAAGGCAATCCTCTTAAGTAAACATACCTCTCAGATTACTCTGATTTATTGTGTCTTGCAATGGCATGTTGAAGGAATTTGGACGATTGTTGGCTTTTCTCAATTCTTCCTTTTTCCTTAAGAAGATATGAAAATTAGATACACTTCCACTTTTAATATACTGCGTCAATCACATCCTACATACCTTTCTTCTTGTACTCTTCCTTTATATATTTCATCACATGGATGATCCCAAGATGATTTCCCAGTATCGAAATTAAAATAGTACAATTCTTCATTTTCATCTTGACATGGTTTCCAACCAGATGGCAGTGGCTTCATAATACCTTCTTTCGCTAACCACATCAAATGAGGTTCCTAGAATTGTCGCATTTGTCAGTAAGTATCAGATGAGAAGTAGTATGTGAGAGAGAGAAATCAAACAGTCAAACCTTCTCAGGATCAATGCCGATATAAACTGCATACTCTTTGATTTCTTCCGACGTTGGCTCATAATTTTCATCATATTGCTCTTGCAAGATGGTTTGATTATTGATTTTATATTCTGGAAGAGTTTTGATCATCTTCCCTGATTAAACAAATTTTTCTAGAAAATTCTTCAAACCAAATACGCATGTTTAGTATGTTACTCATTGTCATATTTATTTTCTCAACTTATACAGCTGTGACGTGTGCATTTGGGACTGCTGAGGGAGAATTTCAATTTTTTCTTATTATTGTCAGTAACCGTAGGATTGTCAAACGGGAATTTACTATCAGTTTTACTCGCTACATCTGTTTATCTATGATCAGATAGAGAAAGTGTGATTAGTTCGTGGACAAAGCACTGACTGTAGTGATAAGAGTGACGCTACAGTCAATCATTCCTCCCTCCCGGTGCGCAACGCTGAGCCGGCGGATATATTTTCGAGATAAACGCTTTTAACAAGAAATTTTGTTATATTCAATTATCGATCTGAATCATTTCTAGTATGCATTCATCATCGTTACCATCCTGCTTTACCCAAGTGTGCGTTGGACGTCATTTCGCTACTTGTTACTATGCCTACATCTCTGCGTAATCGCTCTTGATCGCCGGCTAATGCATGACTCACTTGTGTAGGTGTCGCTTAACAGTGGCAGTAAGCTCGTCACATCTTTTCCTTGTGAGTTGCATTGTCAAAACGCACCTCATAGTTTTGTTTAGTACAAAAACGTCCTTTGGTGACGTTTTGCTTGTCTTTTGATAAGGATCTCTAGAACTCAAGGATATCGGTAATAGAGGAATCGATTTGTCAGAGTGAAATTGTAACTGTCTTCGCAACCCAGAACGGTTCAGTTTTAAATTGAGAATAAAATCTAACTTTCATAACATTTTGTTCATTAGTTCTTGACTGTTTCGACGAGACACCTGTCTCGCAGTTTTGCACTAAAGTGGATGGGCAATGGAACAACAAACTAATCTGATGTATCCGAAAGATAGATATTTGCTGGTGTCAGGATTCCTCTAACTAGGGAACCTCTCGAGGTGATTAAAAGCTTTTCGACTCAGACTATTTTCATCATGTAGGGAATAGTCAGCAGTGAAAAACCCCAAGTTGGTTTGGGCCCATACGCCTTTTTGACGGAGATATGAGTTAATTAATGAAAACAATTAACAATAATTAATTAATAGCTCACGACCATGATCAGCTAGGAGTCGGAAATTTCCACCACAGTTGAAGATAGATGTTGTCTGCTCACTGCGACACTTTTAGACTTATAAGCCAAAGCTTTCGCAAGATATGAATTTTTTATGATCTAGACAGCTTTTAGTGAAAATTCACCATTGAAAACCTAAAAACTTGTTATCACCTTTTAGATACCTCTATCGACTCAATAAAGACTTATGTCATTTAGATATAGGTGCCTAAGAGCCGCTGAGCTTCTGCAGTGTGAACAGAGGTACTTAAAAGGTGATAACAAGTTTTTAGGTTTTCAATGGTGAATTTTCACTAAAAGCTG